AGTGTGTTAGACAGTGGTTTCCAAATGGTGGTCCGAGGATCTCTGAAGGCAAAAGACGTATATAGTAGAGCTTAGTAATTACTTGTCGGCACAGACAACAAGTTAGTATGCCCAAATCAACTGATACTTTCTAATTTTTTTCGGACCATCCTAGCGCACAGTTTAAAAGGAATGGGGATAAGGCATTTCCTTAAAATAATTCATAAATAAAATGAGAATAAATTGAACACGATCTGCCTGAAAATGCAACTTTCGGTTTCTTAACAGAAGAGGGGCCATGAGCACCAAACTTTATATACCAAAAGTACAGAAAATGTTCTGCTGACAAATTCCATACTACACTTGCGGAGCCGATGAGACTATTTCCTCCGTCATGAAAAAGTTGAGATACTGCAGGTATTTTACACCCAAGGCAGTCCATGTAGGCTTTGTTGTGGACAAAGTGGCGATAGGGGCGGGTTTTTCTCAAAATCTTTCGGTTTTCCCCTGTCATCATTCCACCGCTACTCCGTATAGTATACCTGGGGGTGGACAATGGGCCCGTTAGCCCAACGAAGACGTCTCGCCCCACCGTAACAAGAAGTAGCAGCTTTAAACTATGAGTTTGAAGACCGGTCGGACATACGGCACACACGAAAAAAACAGCAAAGAAGTGCATTTTGCATTTTAGTTGGAACACCTCATCAAATAGGCCATTTGGTAGACCGATGCTAACGTATAAAATTGGTTAGGGGAATCTACAATGTACTCGTGTGTGTTCCGTGCCAGGGAAGCACCTACATTAACTTACAGACGAACTGCCTGATGAGATCGTCCTCTCATCAGCATCGATAGGCCATAGTCTGATCCTGTCAAGGCCTTCAGACAAGACAATCCCGTTAACATAAGCACATCCCCAATTGCAAGATGCCGTTTACCAATTCCAGTTATGCGGGAATGATTAAACCTCACGCACAACTCTAACTAGATGCTTTCTAATTGGTTCGTTTACTACGAACTCCTAGTACTGCTCTGTTAGTTAAATCACAGTGGGATGTGAGATGAGAGAAATACATGCACATTTAATCTGAACCTCAAAGATCCCAACACTTACCTCTCAAATGCTCTATCTAGCTAGCACACATGCACTAATATCTGAAAGTTAATCATTTGACAGAATGGTATTCTGCTGAAAACAGACTACAACTGTCGAAAGACAAATTTGGTAACAATACAAAGATAACACAAAAACTATACGAGCTAGGTGCAGGGACCTTCACAGGGAAAAACAGTCATTCATCGAACAATTTAATCTACGGCGGAATATATGTAACAAACACAAAACAAAACAGTGAATAAAATTGAAATATGTTATAATATAATATGCTGTATTCCGTTCGTATAATTTTGAATTATCAATTGTTTATTTTCTCCTCAACATGGCACCGTTTTTGTATGTAAATTGTCAATTTCCAATTCTTCCTGTTGCAAGACAGCATCACTCTTCATATCACAACTCACGCAAAAGCGGTCTAAACCTAGTAACAAATCATAGTTATCCATATGGTTCCCGCTATTTCTTATGCGATAACCTATTAAGAATGCAGAAAATACGTACTTGCAGAGTACCAATTTCGTCATTAAATATTGTAAAAACAACCGACATTTCACAATTTACTTGTGCTCGATAACTGACAGTCATATACTAAAACAACACTTACCTCCAACATCCATGTCGACACAACTTTCCGCATGAAAGGCTGAATATCTTTCTGTACAGTCCCAAAGTAATTGCAAGTAGGTGTGTACACTGTCTCTAAGTCCAATAAATTTTGCAAAACTCTCATGTCTTCAAAAATAACACGATCTCTTTCTGCTAATCTGCAATCTGCAAGCCTTTCAGCGCACAATAAATCCATTCTTCAAGGAGAGATCAATCGCTGCAGCTGAAAACACAAGTCGTGTTAACAGCTCCAAAGCAATATTCCCACCTGATAACACAACGAAATGTTAGCCACAAAAGAAGTTTTATTATGGGTAATAATACACACTGAAGCACCCAGTTAACGCTGCCTATATTTAAAAACCAGTGCCACTGAGATGTCAGGGTCAGCTCCACACGTGTTCACTTCAAGGCAACTAGCTACACACTCTACACAAAACCTTCTATGCACTTACATCTCCACGGCCAGACCACAAATGCCACACAACTTTTCTCTCTGGCGGTAGCCCAACGATACAACAGGTCTACTCATGAAAATCAACGCACTCTATCGGAAACATTGCAACTTATAAAAAAAATTATTAGGTGGAGCAGAGGGGGCATGCGATAATCTGTGGAATCGCGGATCGTCACAGGTTCAACAAATGAGATGTTCGTACCTGTTTATGTCCTAAATTAGAAGTGGAGGTGGAAGGAATAACTAGTATGATGCCACCCTTTAAGTTTTGCCCAGAATGTAAAACGCAATAACCGGAAATCAAGACTGGAAATTACAGAAAACTGCAAAGTCGTTCTATTCTGGGTATCAAAACCTATACAAGCAGGACCTACTGGTGGAGGGGGAGATCGTAATAAATTTGTTCTGATGGGTTGTACATCTAGCTTATACAGAAACAAATGCCAGGAAGGAACAACCATAAAACTGTAGTGATTTATTAAACAATTAGAAAATATGGTTTGGTATTGTGGACTGGACTGAACAGGCCCAACACAATATATGCCACTCATACAAATCCTATCACCCCACTCAGCTTCATGTCTATCCTGGCTCTGAACTCAGAAACAATACAACTTTTTCTTTCACATTTTGCTACTTCCATGCCACCTATTTGCCTGCCATTAATAAGAGCTATGCACAACAAATATGTTTACTGTTCTGATAAAACCTTGATCTTTCTCCAGAACCATGTCACCAAACTGGATATGCCTATCCACCCCTTGATCCAGCCTGATCTTTGTGAAACTGTATGAACAGCATGCCATTGGACACACCCATTTGATTCTGTTAAACTCCCTCTCACTATTAAAATAAAATGGTAGCATAGGAGGAGGGAACAAACTATCACTGAATATGGGGTCCTAATATGGTAATATATCTACGTGAAAATCTAAATTCTTGTTTGCCAAGATATTTATAAAATGTAGGATAACAAGATGGTGAACACACAATTTTGTTTATAAGCATCATTATAACATGACACTGAAATTTGTACTGTAACATGTTATAAACATATCTACAAATCATGCATTAAACACTTTCTTCATATCCTGATTTGTTGTGCTGCAAGTGCAAAATCATGAAATCCTAGCAAAGGGACACAACTTTGTGAGGTTAGAAGTTATCACAGCAGTGAAGTTGTAAACTATGGTCTTCTGGTTTGTGATATTATATAGTCTCATGGGTAGTCACCCATATTCTCCTGAAACACTTTTATCAACCTAAGAGACTATACAGCCTCACAACCCACAAGACAGCAAATAATGGACATTACTTGTGTTACCCAGAAGAGGGATACAGCACAAAATATAAACTTGTCCACAGCTTGCTTCACCTAACATATTTCTCACCATGTTTTCGGTATCTCATTCTCTTTCTTATGCACAATGTGAGAATTTCCTACATGTGTTTCATGGTACTAATTAATGTTTCAGCATATACTACTTTAACTGCAGATGCTGGATATACTTTTTTACTGCAGTTAATTAGAAAAGTTCATGTCTGATTTACAGTTCAATATTTAATATTAATATTTCCCTGGCAGAAAATTATATTATTTATAAATATTAAAATAAATATATCAATCAAGTAATGTGAAAGTAGACTACAGAAATTAAATGCTGGGTGTAAATTTTAAATGAGGGCTCTACTCTATTAATGTATATTCTGAAACATTAAATTTCCACTCTCAAATTATTTAAGATCAACTAAATGAAGAAAATGAAACTGGCAGGATGTATTATTAAAGTACGACTATAAGTATAGTTTAAAAATCGCCATTTTGTGAACAGGTGTGAAGCATATCAGTTTTATGACAAGACATATTCAAGGACTACACGTTTTTAAATGACAGTATTGGGATTTCACAACATAAAATAAGATTTCCCACCAACTTTTGGTTTCCAGCTTCAACTATATATCAAATTAATTGTATCTCGAAACCAAAAACCAGTACACATGAAGACAAACTCACAGTCTAGTAAAGTACCAAAGTATTTCATGTTATTTACTGTAACTTAAAGGTCTGACACAAACGTAAGGGTGAGCTGCACACAACAAAACAACTAAAAGAACTGTAATGAGCACGAGTTCAGAAAAGACTCCCTTTCAACTTACAACACTTGTTACTTTCCAAAATTTCACTTTACGGCCCTATAAAACTAGCCCCACACACCCTATTGGCATATTCATCGCCCTGATGATGGAGGCAGTATGACCTCTGAAACGTTGGTTAGCATCGACCAGACTACACAGCGCAACAACCCAGGAGACAGAAATCTTCAGCATCATATTTCTGTTACTTTGCTCTGTGATCAGAGTAAATATTTCTTAGCAAGTGTTCAAAATGCCGAGTTTGAAGTTACTTTTGTGGAAAACTTTGTTGGTTCAAACACCTGTCACCCTACTATTGACTGTTGCAATTCTGCATGCCCATTACAGATATTTAATTTTCACTAAATATTTTCACCAATCCAATGGCACTACAGACTCATATGGGCCTTGGCCTCCTCCCATTCGGGAGGTTTCCTAGTCTTTGAAGTGTGCATCTGTAAGTAATAAATGACAAGCTCACTGCCTCTGCATTATTTCTACTGAATCCTGATTTGTCTGCTAGAGAATCAGGAGAGACGTGGGTGAGAAATGGCCGCTGAATTTAGCTTACGAGACATCTCGTATCATGCTCGTATGGTTCTTTTACATGCCGTAAATCTATGACATGTGATCGCTGGCTTTACTTCCCTCCAAAGTTGTGCTACGGATTTTTATTACCCTTAAAAATCCATCGACCTCAGCCGGGTTTGAACCCACGAACCTTGGGTCCAGTGGCAAGCACGCTAACCACTAGTCCACCAAGAAATATGTCAAATCAAAACCCAGATAACAATCATGATGCAGAATTATGTCATTCTAAAACCTTATTTAACATTTTTGATAAAATTACATATTTTATAAAAACAAATACTTCAAAATGAACAGTAATAATACAAATATAATGTTACTAGCACTTGAGATTGCAAAGTTTATACTGACATATAGAATAGATACTTTTTTGGTTACAAATTAAAGGATGCCAAATTTTCAGCACTGATAATTTATACACGTGTATGGGTAACTTATCAGTAACATACTAATATATCACAAACAAAATTCCATTATGACTTACTTTTATAAAAAGAACATTCACTGTATTCAAAACTAAAGAACATACAAAATAGTTATCACTTGCCATTTCTAACAGGTTATTATATATTACATGAATATTTAACAGTTTAGATATTTTAGAAAACTCACAAAATGTAATTATTTACAATCATGTACAAGATTTTAATTTGTATAATACTAATTTCCTTCTACTGCTACTTCTGGTTACCATCATTTCTACTGGAGACTTCGTCCTATTTCTCCCAGAACCTGCCCTTACCATATGTTTTGCTGTATTTCCAGTGTCTTCTTGAGCTTTAGACTTTGATTTTGGACTTAAAGTATTGGGGGAATCTTGTTTTGGCAAAGACATTGCAGATCTATCTAATAGTTTTTTAGCTGATGCTCGAACACTGTAAACGCTTTTATTTCGTAACTTCTCATCTGATGTTCTACCACTGGATATGTCACACTGAGATTTTTCATCTGATAAGCCAAGAATAGAAAAGTTAGTTTCAGATCTAACATCAACAGAACCATTGTTCTCAGAGATTTCTCTGTTTTCACTTCTGTTACTTGTCACTGCCATATCTGCAACCACTGGTTGTCTATCGCTAACTTTTTCAGTTTTTTCACTCGCAATCCTATTACCATTGTAAACACTATTCTTACTGCATGTAATGTCTGAAAACCCTGTAACACTTTCCATGAAAAGTCTTCTAGAAGAAACAGGTGATGCCACATTCAGATTAAACGGCTCTGGCTCCATCGACTTCACGTCAGTTGTGATTATTTTGCTTATTGAGATGTTAGAAGCAGCAGTTCTAAAGCAAAATGTAGGGTTCTTCTTTAAATTATAATGACTGGCAGAAGGTACTTTCCTTGAAACTGGAATGAAACCTGAGGATGATTCTAATTTTGGGGGGAGTATGGTGGCTGCGTGTGAATCTGAACTTACGACAGATACTACAGGTTTATTCTGTGCTGTATTCACAAGATCTCGCATCAAAACATGAGATGCAGTAGAGTTTGTATGAGTTGAGCGAGTTGTTAAAGTCGATTTTGGAAAACTATTGGTTGTAGGTACGTATGTATCGGAGACCAGATCACAAGATATTTTTCTCACTTTGTCAGGTACAACAGCAGCACACACACCAGGTTGAAGTCGTTCTATTTCTATAGTCGGATTTAAAGAGTTTGTGCTGAGTTTTGATGGCTGCACAGGTTTAACTATTGAAGATTCCAGTGAACGGTGGCAATCTTTATTAAGACTAGTGTTTGGATTCGCAACCGCAAGCAATGGAATACTATTTATATTAGCACCACTGTTTAAATTCTTAGAGTTTTTAACCACACTTGATGGTGATTGTGTTGGAACATATACTGGATAACATACGGGTGCTGAATAGACTTGGTGTCCATTGCAGATCAGGTACTGATTGTTCTTACTTCTCTCAAAACCGATCAACCTATTTCCAGCAGCACATAAATTTTTTCTGTTGACTGGTTGCAATACGTGAACAAAATGACTGGAAGGGTGACCCACACTGGATGCAATCTGAAACATGAAATAAAAAGTGACAAAAAATGGTTTACATAATAATGCAACAATTTTAAATAATCTGAGTGACACAAACACACAAATCTTCATGGGTTTCAAAAAGAATACGAAAAAATATTGCTTAGGAAAGTACAGTTATTCTTTTATCAGAGAGATATTTGTATCCCAAGATAAGTACAAAGTTTTTAAACTAAAATAACCTGTAATAGTTGTGCCAAAAGAACTACATACAAGAAAACAGCTTATAATCACTAGTACCTGCTTCATAGGCTGTTTGTTCACTGGTGAAGAACGAATTAAGATCACAAAGAAAGAGACAAGCGGGAAGATTGAAAACATGCCAGAAAGATGATAACCTACTTCCAAAGTATTACCTACGCACCACTCATCACTGTGTTCCCTTAAATTTGTTAAATAATCTAAGAAATAATCACTGTTTCCTACCTGAGGTCTGACCTGTTTAGTTCGTTGGTTGCTGCCTTCATCATTGGCCACGCTGTTTTTCACTGTACTAGCACTAATGCTGCTGCTGGTCATAGTTGTATTTGAACATGCTGATGGTAAAACAGCCACAAACACAGGGGTGGCAGTTCCTATCTTCTGTGCAGCATCGGTACAAGACAGGGAATTTATATTTTTCCCAATTTGGCCACTTGTTAGAACATGGTGCCCCATTTTATTTCCTGAAAGAACTCTTCCAGAAACCAATTTACATTTAGAATTGTCGAAAACAGCATATTTTAAATCAGAACTCTGGCCGTGAAGAATGTTTCCCTTCAGTGATGGAGCACTAACGGACACTGTCTCATTTGTACTGGGACTCTTAGAGATGCTCATTTGTGTAGGCAAATCACTGACTGGGTTTTTTACAGCAATGTCTTTTTCAGCAGAATTATCAGCTTTTACACAATTATTTTGTAGATTCCTACTCAACTGGTGCGTTCGTACTTTTTTGAGAAGGCCGTCTTCTACGTCATTCACGTTATTAGGCAGTATTAAATTTCCAGATGAGTTTAAACCGAGCTGTTGTTGTTTTAAATTAAACTTATCTGCATTATGCAATATAAAATTTGTGTCCTGTCTCGCTCCAGGTGAAGTTGAGGTCCTGATTGTCTTGTTGTCAACAGAAATAGAAATTCTCTTTCTCTCTGAGGGCATCAAAGTGTACCACACACCACCACCATTAGAAACTGAACCCCCTACATCTATCTCCTCATTGGTGTCAATCCGATTTTTGGCCGAGTCTGGGACGGCATCTTTAACATCAAGTGACCCCATTAACAATTTTCTTGGCTCTTTCTGAACAATTTGTTCTGAGACTGCCTTCCTTGTGACTTCCTCTGATTTATTTATTTTTTGCACAGCAGGAAACCTAATGAATCCTATGGATTCATCTGATGACTTCTTCAAAATGCCAACAGTACTCAAGTTTTCAGGTGAGATGTCATTTACTTCTTTCTCAGATTTACTAGGAGAACCAATTAATTCATCCATTTTAACTATATGATTATCTTGCCTTTCAGATGTATCAGTATTTGGTTTTGAAGGAATAACTTGCAGTATGTCCAGAACAGTTGTAACTTCTGATTTCCTTTGCTTTCCTGAAGCACTAAATTTGGAATGAATGGCATCTTCAGCTTTGCTAACAAATGACTTATGTTTTCTATTTACTACATCCTGGAGGAGTTTATCTTCAACACACCCCCGTGGAATTCGAGTTACTGTCACCACATCCCTGTCCTCGGCGTCTGATATAGTTGGCACTGGTTCATCATCTTGCACAACTGAAATGCTCACAGAAACAGAATCATCATCCACGCCCTCTTTTAATTGCAAAGAGTGAGCTATCAGTGGCTTTTCATTATTTACCATTTCTGTGTTGATAACACTGTCTCCCACACAATTTTCATTTGTTACGCAATCTGAAACAAAGAAGATATACATGGCATGATTTGTAGAATATATGTAGATTGTTTGCTGCTGATTTCATTTTAGAATACCAAAGAGGTGGAGGAAAATATTCAAATGGATACTAGGGGAGTAAATTGTGATAACGTGAAGTGAATTTAACTGGCTGAGGATCATTGTGTTGGGATAAAATATTAAAAGGGGATTTATGAAACGAGAGAGCGAGGACTTATTTAATATTTTAATAGGCATACCACACGCCCGCAAATGCATAAAAAAACATTCAAACAGTGCTTCGTGTTAGGTACAGATAGCTGCAAACTAAAACTTCATATGAATAAAGTTTCAAATACTAATTTCGAAAACCTATTACATTATTTTAACAAAAAATAAACTCACCACCTGGATTACTTTCATTCCTGTTTTCTCTATCAAACTTGTGTGAAGGCAAAACATTCTGAGCATGATGAGAAGAATCCTTAGATTTCCTGTAAGAAAATTAACATATTTAATAGAACATAAGATAACCTCTATGCAATATATTCAGTAACAATACAATTTCTCTAAAAAGAATTCCTCCTCATCAAAATGGTAATTGAGAAACACGGGAATAAGACAATATATAATTCCAGTACTGGATACTGGGAACGACCCGTTCTCCAAGTGCCTGAGCACTGCGGGTCCCAACTTTATCGTTGGCTTGTTCTGTAGACATTCAGTAGGACTCCTTGGACGAGGGATCAGCCCGTCACAAGGCCTCTACCTGTACACAGGACAGCACGACACAAAAAATGCGGACAAACATCCAAGGCTTGAGTGGGATTCGCACCCACGGTCCCAGCGACCAAGCGGCACAAGGCCCACGCCTCAGACCGCACGGCCACTGCGGACACCAATCCCAGTACTATCACAGAGAATCAGGTGATATGTGGATGCATTATGGCACAACCAAACTAATGTATAGAATTTCTTAATTAGTTACACATTTAATTGGTTCTGTTGCAGAATAACATGTCAAAAGCAAAATAAAGTGGATGATAACATATTTGACATACATCATGTAATAATTTATATCAAAATACAAGTATCCCTCAATTCTGTTGGCCCAATTTGCGCCGATTCAGAATAATGCCGAGTTTTAAACCAGAAAGTCAAAAGGTGAAAAAAATATATTTTACTATTATTTATAACGTTTTACAATGTTTCTCGAACTGCTTCTTACACTAAATTGTAATTCCTACATTGCTGATTTTCAATAAAAATTATAAATAGTCAGCTCTGCAATTACGTATTTTTCGTTAACGCGAATTTGCTCCAATGAGATCGATGAATCGGTAAAAGCTGTTTGTGAAATGCAAACTTTTGCATATGCGAGTATGCTCTTATGCAGTTTCATTCTTGGTGCTTTAAACTTTCAAAGGACTAATTTAATCTCTGCGGAGGTACCGGGGTTATTTTTATTACACAATTTTCTATAGGTCGGTGTCTTACATGAATGCAACTATCGCATAACAGCAGAGATGACTGTACACATCAATCAAATGAAAGAATCGCGGGGACCAACGAATTGCCGATTGTAAATATATAAAATAAAAAGTAAAGCTGTCCCACTATGTGCCATGTAAGCGCTTGGGGTGAGTGGAGTTATAGCTCCTCTCTTTCTTGACCTAGGCACTAGATGGGGGTGAGTGGTCAGCATCACGCCCCGGCCGTGCTTTACCCCCGGGAAAGGACCTCGGTACCTATTGTAGAGGAGGCTGGGTGGGCCCCAGAGCCGGTGTGGACGCAGAGACTAGAGGAAAAATCCTCTGTCTCCGTCGGGAATCGAACCCCGGCCATCCAGCCCATAGCTAGTCACTATACTGACTGAGCTATCCCGGCTCGTAAAATGCATAAAATATATTTTTTAAATTCCCTTTATTTTATTTACGTTATTTCAGAGCTTTAAATGTAATGCCATTATATTACTCGTCAATGTTTGGGTGCTGGGAAAGCATGTCATTGACTTCCCATTGATTTACATTATAAAAGAATTTCAATTTACGCCAATTCCGATTACGCCGGTTTGTCCAGGAACGCGATCGAGGGCTACCTGTACACAATTTTTCATTATGCAGTACTTCTTTAACTATACAGTTGTTTATAGTGAGACTGTTTTGTGTGCTACCAAGTACATTGGAATTAAGCTGCATAACTCCTGCTTATTTGGTCATGGGCATTGATATCACTATAAGTGACCGACCTATGTAGTTACTTTAAGAAGTTCGGATGAAGACAGAGTGCTTTTGTGAAGACACAGTAAACCAAAATTAAATAGTATGTGTGTAGACAGTTAAAAATAATGAAATGTAATTTTAAATGCCACGGGAAAACTAACTGTACAGTCAGCACTAAACTCACAACACAAAGAAAGAAGCAACATTTACTCCTAACCTGGATGATGCATCACTGAAAGTTGCATTTACATTAAAAACAACAGGAATCTTGTCACCTAAAACCTCTTTTAACTTGGCCATTTCCCTATTTCTGTCTTCAACAAATGGAAGAGCTGGAAAACAGAAACATATTAATGTGATTTTTATGTATGAAATTTGACAACAAATATCATATATTAGACATAAAAATAATCTCTTGCCTTGAAGGAAGAATGCAGATTACAATTGCTTGAAATCAAGGTGCTCAGGAAGATATTTGGACCTAGGAGGGATGAAATAATCGGGGAATTTTGAATATCGCATAACGAGGAGCTGCGTGAATTGTATGGTCACCTACCATAGTGAGGATATTGAAATCTAAGAGGTTCTGATCGGCTGGACATGTAGCATGCATGGGGGGGGGGCTGTGGCAAGGGCTACATACAGAATTTTGGTAGGGAATCCTTCTGGAAAACGACCACTGGGCAGACCAAGGAGATGGGAGGATCACATCAAGATGGGTCTTAGGAAGGTGAGATGTGACGATGATGGCAAATGGATGGAGTTGGCTCTGGATTGTGGCCGGTGGCGGGCTATGGTGTTGTCGATGTTGGACCTGAAGGTTCTGGTACCAGGGAGTTAGTTAGTTAGTTAGACAAGGTCACAAGTTACTTTTGGTGGGGAGGGACACAGGACATAAGCACCTGTCATGCAAAGTATGCAAAATAGTAAGTGAATTTCATGATGCTGACAAGAAAAACCCGGTACACATGTAAAATATGTCAATGCAAATTGCCTGGATATTTCCTATTAGTTCAATAGCACTGATAACAAATGAACTGAGATGTTGAGTACAAAAATATTGGTGTCAAGACTGAGAAACAATATGCATTCACTACTAATATCTACTGATGTATGTGACTTGAATGGCAACCTAAATGACTGAAAGAGATTCTCAAGAAACTGTTCCTACTAACGCTAAACACCTAAATACATTATCAGTTAATGTGTGAGTTTGTAGTTCCTTACCTTTCAATAACTGATAGAATCTTGAAAAATTTGTTAGTCTTCTCTTACTGAGTACCTCCAGTTCTGACAGGAGCTTCATATTTGTAAGATCAACATTTTTAACTTCATTTATAGCCTGTAAAAGCCAATCATATCATGAAGTTAACAAAATATGAAGGGAAGAATATTCATACCACAAAGGTAATTAGTATGGTATTTAAGATTTTAAAAGCAGCAGTAAGGCATATTTGAATCTTTGAATCATATGACCACAAAATGACAATCTGACAGTATGCAACGCCCACATTAACTGAAAGGACTTCGTGAACTTCAGTAATACCAACCACAGATTATGTTTAACCCCACTAGAAAAAATTAATAATTTATTTGAATGATTTCAGAAAGGCATTAAGCCTTTATGACCTACAGTGCACATTGTACGATCTGGCAACTACAGTGTGGGTGGGAAGTAAGTAAGACTGTGGATTCCATTCCCGGTTGTTTGAGGAAGCTGGTGGATGCCGCCGGTGCCTACATTGAATTTTAAGCTATGCGTCCATATTCCCATTTAAAAAGGTACATGTAAAAATTATTTTCAATATCGTTGCATTGGAAATATAGAGGTTATAACCATTTCTCAATGCCTACTTACTTCCTACCCACCCTGTATATTCAAATGACTGTAGTAGCTATTTCAAAAAGGTGGAGTCAGAGTCATGAAGCAGATGCTCCACCTGTCACTGTATCTACAAGTCACGTATAGTATGCGGCATACAGCATTTACTAACGCCACTGAAAATCCAATACAATTGTTTTACTCTGTGCAATCAATGCCTACAATTTGCATGCATGCAAACATAGCAGGGCGTATCTATATCGCCTTTCAACTTTACTTTAGAATGTAACATCAGGAAAGCCAAAGAAAACACAGAAGGAGTGGTACTTAACCAGACCCATCAGCTTCTGGTCTATGCTGAAAATTTAAGTATTATGGATATGAGGTTACAGCAACAAGTGTGAAGACGACTGTCTTTTACGATGTAAAACCAGACTACATACCAAAAGACAGCCATCATCAATCACGTTATATATTCAGGTAAATATGGCATATTCATTTTTACAATCACCAGCTTAAGTATGTTGTCACTGTCGGTTCTACAAAGTTGCTCTTCTGACAAGAATGTGGACCCAAGTTTGTGGAAGCCATGAAGCAACTCAGGCTCAAGGCTGGTATGCGCTACAGTGCTCTTTTGTTGTCGTCCAAACACTCCTATCTCTGTTAAGAACTGTGAAGAGTAAGAAATATTACAGCTGTAGCTGGCTGGTTTATAGGTTACTTAACAAATGTATATCAAATTCAGAGGTTATTTAGGATAAGATGATTATCAATGAGTACAGAGGGAAAAGAATAGGTAGTGTCCTGTTTTGAGGCTATAAGAGACATGCAAGTACATAGAGCATGGGAAATGCAGAAATATTCAAACTATGATGTAAAAAAACCAGAAACAAAGGCTCAAGAAAATAAGTGGCATTTTATAAACAAGTATTAAGAATGAAGGATAAGATTACTAGAAATAGTAGGTCCAAAAATGAAGGGAGAACACTACATAAAATGCCATAAGAGGACTTTATGAACACACAAAGCATTTTCTTCCTTGGTATTCCTCAATAATAAAGAAACAGAAATGTAAAGTTGTACAGCACAACACTGCAGCAGTTAAAATCAGCCATCCAGAGGAAAGGCCCTGACTAGCTCACAGAGAAAGTGATCCTTCAAGACAACACTTGCCCCAAACAGCCCACATCCCAACAGAACTACCGAAGCAATTTCAATGGAAATATCTTGCCTATCCACCAAATAGCCCAAACTTTGCAACCCAGGATGATCTCCTCAAGATGACAGAGAGAAGGAAAACACATCTGACAAGGTGCACCAGTAGGTGCAAATACTAAGACAAGATTTATTTTCTGTAGGAATCAAACATGTGGTATCAGAAGGATAACTGTCTCAGTTACTTCAGTGATCACATGGAGAAACAAATAATTTGACTGTTACTCCTTGTTCTTTTGTGTGTGTATGTTGAAATAAGAAATATGAGAATAACACACCCTTGAAAGTTATTCAATGAACAACTCTCATACATACATGAAAATATTATTTACATTTTATGGAGAAATTTTTCTACTTACATGACTCCCATTCAATATTTTGCAATTAAACAGTTCGCAAAATTTGGTATCCACAGTTGCATGTTTAACTCTCCATAAAAGTGTAATGTTATGTGGAATAAACTCTACTTTCTTCTTTAGTTCACTGTTAACAATGTAACAAAACAAAATATAAGAAAACACAAAGCAAGTAATCATTAAATAAAAACCACCTACTTATATAATGTGTGCTTTCAACACCTTTCTTTGGGACAGAAAACTTCATACAAAGTTCTAGGTATAATTAATAACTATAAATTTCTTTGCAACACACTACACTGTTTCATCTTGAAAACAAACCTTCAGAAAGGCACACTATCCTAATATTTGTATCTACCATCATACAACAATAATAACTGTTTCATATAAAATTTGTGGCACTTTCATAATTTTTACAATGCTGAACTGATTATTACCATTATGAGCAAAGATGTTGTACTAGTAGTGCCTGTCACATTTTGCCAAGATGCCAGAGGACTTACAACATAATCTGAACTTAACCTCCTCCACCTGACTGTTACACAAATGCCCAGCATGTGATTCTTTTATGTTCATGGCAAAATATTATTATTATGACCAAGATGACAGGAGTGAGTAACAGGACATTAAACTTCCAAGTCTAAAAATATATTTCACCATCTGGATGATTGTTGTACTAAAATCTGGATAATTAGTTAACAATGCAATATAGTTCTTGCATTTAATATACCTACTGCTCTTTAACCCTCCAGTATATGGTTGTGGGACATTTAAAAATCCTCTTGACTCAAAATGTTTACATAAATAAAAATAAACACATAAAAAGGTATCACAGTTTTTAAGAAAATATTGCAGAGAAGTTTTCCACAAGTGGCATGTCACCACAAAGTTACAGGTGTGCCACAAATTTTTGTAAGTTGTACATTCATATGTTATAACTAGAAAAAGGCTGTGTCATCTTTTTTGATCATAATTTGCATCACACACATTCTAGTTCTTAATTGATAGTTTTATTCAACATGTGTCAGGTTTTGCTTTCACATGCCTGCACACTTGTAGGACAAGAATCTATATATAGTACATATTTATGGCCATGTACAGTTTCATATCCTCTCTGTGAGGTGAAATATTGTGGTGTGCTGTCATGTGTCTTTGACAAATAGGGTATGCAGCAAGCGGAAAACTAAAATAACAATTTCACATATATTTTTCAGTACTTACTCTGTAAGCCAATGTGAAGCTGTTTCCAAGTTCTTGAAGTAAACCCTTTCACCCTGCAGAGAGAATGGACTTTTTAGCATAACAGATTTGTTATGGTACATGACAGCTTTTATGTAGCCAACACTGGGAATGGAAGGTACGAGTTTGATCTCCACAGCGGTTTTCCCAACTGACATCACTGGTGACCCTTGTGGAAATAGTGGTTCTGCATCCTTTGGAGCTTCAGATGAGTTTTTCAACACAGAATCCACACTGTAAAAGAATTAACAAAGGACAATTTAAAGTAAAGCAACTACAGAATTACTTTGTAATTCTGCACCTCCCATTGGTTCTGATGTGCAGATACAAGCCTGTTGTTGACTGAGGCACTTGGCTGACATGATACAGTCAAAAATGAAATATTCATACCAAAAACTGGCCTTGATGAAAAATGAATAAAGGAATATTTACCACGTCACAAATACAATTCACAACCATTACCAGAAAACACATAAAATATATAAATTCTACTGGGATGCCAGTGTCATCACAGATAAAACAGTTCCCAATATTAAACCTGATAAATTGATCATAAATAAAGCAAAATTGAGCATAATAGATAACATTCCCTTGGAAAAAGACATAATAAGAGCAATATCAGAAAAGCTTCTGAAATAAAATAAAAAAGCAAAAACTGTGAGTCATTCTTTAAAGAAATGGACTAATATTAAAACATAACAGGTACTTCAGATACTGAAACATGTCATATTATAAGAAGTTTCTAAACAATGCTCTGTAATACATGCATTTATTAAACATGTAAATCATATATAGTCTGGTTATAAAAACATAAGACACACTATATCAGACATATGCCACATATGGTCCAAATGCCATAACAAGACCGTCATAATTTATGGCCTGTAAACCTGTAACAGCTTTTTCAAAGCAGGCATAATTTTTTTAAAAAAATTTAAATAGTCATTAGCTTATCTGTATTTTACTACAATAAACGTTTTGGCTTTGGATTTACACTATCTTAGTGAAGTGAGATTTCAGCTGGGAATTTCTGTGATGATTCTGCTCACATAATCACTGAGAAAGAAGTTGGTAGATGAGGACTAGATTTTCCCAAAATCAAGAAGCTTGGCATGCTCAGATACTCTTTGCCCTTTCCCACTTGTTAATACAGGGAGCATGGTCAATCCATTCAATACAGTCAATATTTTTCCTGTGGCTTTGGTTAATTTGGTGATCAACCTTCAGGTTCCCTAAGTCAACTAGTTAGTTATGTTCTAACATAATGAGAGCTAAATCTGAATATTTAAATATATAAAATTAAGCATTTGAAGTTGAGATCTGAAGAAGAGTTCAAATTCAAGTTCAAAGAGATATTCCAAACAGAATTCATAGATTTTCAAGGCAACAGAAAAATCAAAATTTCTCAATGCATCTCTTCTAAATTTTGCAAATTCCACCTTTCACAATGTAACTTCAATCAGCTTTACAGGCAACCAATGCACTGTCTATAAGTACCTATATTTGTAAGGTATATTAAAATGATGAAACATTCCAAACTGAAACTAAGAAGCAAAATGAATTAAAATTTACTTCCTTAATATTAAAATAAATATTTGTAACCTCAATGGAGACATTAATGCCAAATATCAATCGATGGTGAGCAGTTCAAAACTGTCCTACACACGAGTCTAATTCATTAATAAATTAATTAGAAATAATATAACAATATTTCACACAAATGGGTATCAAACTTCAAACTGTTTCTCAAAAAGCTTTGTATTTTCCATTTGGCCAAAACTACGAAGTGGTTGTACACCTCTGCACTATACAATACATACCAGAATAACAGAGTGACTGATAATAACAGTGGTGGTTTCTGTGGAGGTGGTGCCAATCATAACACTACTAACACAAGTACATCTGCAGTATCAACAACATTTTTGACAAATAAACACCTTCATACTGCCTTACCTGTTAACAGATGCTGTACCACACATAGATATTGTTGATGCTTCATCACCTCTGGATCCTGGAACAAACTGTTTCTGCAAGTTTTCTAAAATATTTATGTTCCTTCTAGTTTTCTTCTTCATCAACAAATATGTCTTACGAAACAATTCTCCTGTGTCACAGGGTGTTTCCACATCAAGTATTTCTTCATCACTATCAGATTTCACTGATGAAAATACATCTGCAGTACTTGGGCAAGATTCAGTAACTGCCAAATGTGAACCATCCACATTTTCTCCTTCCTCCTTAACAGACTCTTGTCCCATGTCTCTTGAAGTCTTATGTACTGAAATTTTATGACAGCTGATTGTTACAGGCACGTCATTCTTCAGTTCAAGGGTCTGTTTACGTCTTGACCCTTGTCTTCTAGACTCAGTTCCAATACCATCCTTTAATGAATACTGTGCAATGTTTCCATTTTCACTATGTGATTTGCTGTCTTCCATTTCTGCATGACACTCAGTATATGACTCCTTTCTATCCACTGCAAAGTTGGATTTCCCATCGCCCATCCCTGTTACAGGTAAAGGAGCAGAACTATTGCCTGATGACACTCCATTCCAATCTAGGCTTACAACAGATGCCTTTACATTCTTTACTTTGCTCTTTCTGTCTTCCGATTTGGCTGTGTATAGCCACAGACCTCGACACACTCCACCATCTTTTGGAGGTAGCGCTACACTATCATACAACTGTTCCATCTTCTTGTTCAGAATTGCCTCTTTTCCACCAGATTTCAATAATGAAGTGAAACTCTCATCTGTGTCAGCTGAAGAATTGGATTCCTTATCTAAGTACATTGTATTTACCAATTTGCCGTTTACAATCTTGATAGCACACACACCAGCCTCATCTCTGAGACCATATGGACCAATGAAAACTCGAGTATAGAGGTTTGGAACAGTATACACACCAAATTTTGGTTGAGTAGTATCAGGAGCTTGCTTTTTGTCATCTGACACATGAGAATTCTTACTGTTTATTTCCTTTTTGGGTATCTTCTGTAGTGGTACACGGACAGTTTTACGATGACTGTTAGCCAAGTAGACAGCTCGAAGCAGCTGTGAATATCTAATGATGCACTTACTATGAGCAATATGTAGCAAATCAAAATGACTTCTTATATTTAACATGTACCATCGAGCAGGATCAGGTCCTGTTGGAAGTGGAACTTCAACCCCTGAAGTATGAATAATGCTGTCAAAATTACAGCTGTTAGCAGAAAAAGTGACAGGTGTTTTGCCAGTGGAAGATGGCAGAGGATGTTCCATAGCAGATTCCAGATTAGTAGTATCCTTTGTTTCTTCTGAAATAAGAGATATTTGTTCCTGACTCACCACCATTGTTATCTCACAGTCATTACCCTTCAAGATATCATCACTCTTGATTTGTTCCTGTGAACAAATTACCTTTGGATCAGATTTGCAACAGACAGATTCTGGCGACTGTGTGGATAAATTCTGAACTGAAAGAGGAGTATCAGGAAGATGAACTACTTCTCTAGCAACAGATTTTAGACCTGTAGTAACAAACTTCTGTTCTACACAGTTTATCACAGTCTGGTCATTATTACTTACACCATCTGAAGTTAATTCACCATAAGAAACCATACCAATATGTTCATTATGACCTCTACAGGTTTCTGTCAAATCTGCAAGAGTTCCTGTAATATCCACAGAGCGAGCCTGCACCAACTGCGGTCCCAATGGTTTATTAGGATCTATGAGTATCCCAGTAGTTTCACAAAGGATTGATTCACAAACAGGCGAATCTTGTTCCTGTAATGAAACATTAGGATCTAGATAGCTCTCTTGTTTCTGTCCATGCTGTTTTACAGAAGGTTCTTCATTTACTTGTAAATTTTCATTCACACTTTCCTGTGAACTGTCAATATCACACAGGCGTTTCCTTAAATTCTTGTGAGGTGAACTACATGAAGCAACTGCATTCTTATTACTTTCGTTCTCCTGATTAAACTTCTTAATTTCTTCCTCCTCTTCCTTTGTAATTTCTTTTTCACCTGAAATGCTAGATTCATTTCCAATTATGACTCCAGGTATTTCCTTCTGGGAAGTTTCAACTGATATATGATCCTGCTGCTGACTTTTAGAAGTTTCTCGATAGCCTGCTTGTTCTGTGGTCTGAATCTGCTCAACTTCTCTGATATTCCTCTGAAAAGAACCAACCAACACCCAGTTGTTCCCATCAAACTGTAGGAGTCCAAAACAATTTATGCCTCCTGAATTAATACCAGGTATTCTGCTACTGATACATAATTGCTCTATAAGGAAAATAATAAATGGTGGTAATTTACTGTGAAAATCAGGAAGGGAATGAGGATAAGTATTATGCAGACTGATGCAGTATTGATCAGGTTTATCAGCAGTTCCTGTAACAATAAGTTTAGGCACAGACCCATGCTTATACTGCAACCATAGATGATATATTTTACGCTCCACCTGGTCCAAAAGAATCTTCCAATTGATTAACTGAATTGAACCAATAGTAGTTTGGGACAGATTCAGTGGCACAATGCAGTTTTCCAAAATGCTTCTAAGCTCAGAGTCTTTCTTTGATATCAGTTCTGCCAGCCGCACAGAATTTATATCGTTGCTACCTTCTGGTAAAATAGGAATTAGTGCTGATGATGGTTTTCCAAATATTTCATTTTCATGAGATTGTTCTTCAGAGTGACATTCTTGCTCTCTGGGGAAATTAAGTGTTTTCATTTTAGTTTGGATTAAGTGAGCACTACCTTCTGATATATTTGTTCCACCAGACAAAAATTCTGTTGACTGCCTTTCAGGATTTAGAAACATGTCCGCATTACAGGCTCCTTCTTCTTCTTTTTCCTTTTCTTCTTCATCTTCATCATCATGTGACTGATCCACTGATCCACACTTCTCAAATTCTTCTGGTCTGAGAGATGTGATGCTTACAATCTTGCCAAAGCCAACTTCCTCATTATCCTTTACAAGATCAGAATTATTGGGCATGATTCCCTGTTCATTTAATGAAAAGGGGGCAGACGTCACAGAGTCACCTGGCATCATATCTAATTTAGAGATTTTGTTTACAGGCGGTGTGAATGGCGAGTAATGAGCACTGATTACATTTTTCATTGTCTCAGAGTCTTCAAGATGAATTCTCTCATGCTGCCTTTGGAACGAATGTGACTGATTACGAAGACAATAGTTTACAGTAGTGCCACTTGTACGAGCAGAATGATGATTCACATTATGAGTATGAATGGTTGTACTGTGACTTGTGCTCTTCACTGCCACATTTCTAGAAGCACAATGCTGTTTCACAGTATCCACTTTTGTTCCGGTCGAATCAAGAGGTACGCTTGGAACTGGTGGAGGTCTCTCTATAGGTCGGTAGAACATTCTCTTGAATGGTTTTAAGCTCTGTCCAGAACAAAAGCAGTTGTATCTTGAGTGAACCATACACCATGGCACAACACCTTCTAATCCTTCCATTCTTTCAATACGAACTTTACAAGACTTAACCTTGAAGTGTTCACACAAAAGTGACATCTTCTGGTCAAGAGTTAATTTCCCCCTTGAAGACCTGCGGGGTGGTTTTGCGATACTTGCTGCTGGTGACTTAAGTACTCCTAATTCCACATAATTTGGTACATACAGCTGTCGCTCACGTCTAGTATTTGTATTACCGGACAGAGCTGATGTAGCATTTATATCCTCACCTGTCATCATCTTGAATTCAGCCATTGCAAACTCCTTACCAAGAACAAGAGAAGAATCCCTATACCTCTCAGGCAACTTTTTCTCCCTACGACGCCTTCCTCCATCACTATTACTGCCACCACCAATAACAATCACCTCATTCTTTGACTGTATCACTGTGTGTCGGAATTCCTTCTCTACTTTTGCAAGGTGCCTGTTTCCCTCATCTTGCAAACGTATTGCTGTACTGTACAAGAGTGAGGGCTTTTCTTCAGCAGAGTTGCTACTTGACTGGTTTGTGGAAGGTTCTTGGCAACAACATTCAAACATGCATTCTGCATTGCCACAGTGGTCAGATAATGCTGCATTAGACTGGCAGGCCTCAAGACTAGCACACACGCAACCTAATCGACAGAAATCTTGTTCACAGAAGGAATCTCCATTCGTTTTCTCCACATAACCATTTCTGTCTTCTCCCATGACAATAACATTCACATTTAATCGGTTAAGTTCCCGATACACTTTGTTCTTCATGTATTTGCTGACAACTTTCTTAGAACACTTCGGAGTTATCACTGTAACTGAACTTGCTGCATCAGGATCATCTTGTATAATTGTATTCTCTATTTCATGATTCAAAACACAATCTATCATCTCTGTAAGAATGACTTTGACTTCTATTAGCACCATATCACATGGCTCAAAACTGGAATTTGATGAAAGATTCTTATCTGCTTTACCATTGTTATGATTCACAGACTTGGCTCCAAGATCAATCTCTACTGACCCTACTGAACTATCAGTATTTGTACAACTTAGATTAGGCTTCGATAATTCTGGGTTTGGAGACATCTGTGTTATTTTAAAGGATGAAGAAGTCAAATCACAGTCTCTGGGAATTTCAGTATTTAAGGATATATTTCCAGACTCTGATGGAGAAATCTCATTGTTTTTGGGTGAATTAGTCTCCAAATTTAAATCCTGAAAGGGAAGCGTGTGTCTCACAAGAATCACGTGTTTTTCTGTTTGTTCATGATTGCCGATATCCTTGCGTGATGTAACAACTGCAACAGCAAATTCAGCCCATTTTCTATCTATACAAACCTCTGAACTTCTCAAAAACATGAGATGTTTAATAGCGAAGGGATGTAATGGGTGACCTACACCAGGAAAAACCACCACTCCATATTCATAAGGATTTGTTGAATCATGTGATGAATGTGGCTGTAAATCACTGCAAGCTGTTATGTTTTCCGTACTGTTATTCCATTCTCTTGTTTCATAGGATAACTTTGTATCAGTGTTAACTTCATTTTTATCCTTTGTAATATCAGATGCAATTGAAACATGAGTAGGATTCAGTTTAATTTGTGGCTCAACATTACATAACAAAACATGCTCATTAACAGTGGGTTCCCTGTTCACGTTACTTCCAGTAATTCGTATTGGTCTCTTTCCAATCCAAGCGTATTTATAGTCAGGATCCAGAGAGAAGACTTTCTGCTCCAAATCTTCTTTTTCTGGCACTGAAGGTGTGATTTTCAGAGTGACAGGCATTTTAGACTCAAAATGTTTTTGAAACTTTATTGGTGTGACAGGTTCATTTTTAGGATGCAATCTTGGCCTTCCCCGTTGTCTTTTTTTGTGGCCTTTAATATATTCGGCCTCACGCATTTCCTTTTCTAACAGTTTTCTTTTTTCCGCTAAAGTTTTGGGCTTTGGCCCAGTTTTTCTTGGTACAGACGGTTTCTCTGAAACTGTATGTGAGGGTTTGGGAGGTGAAGGAGAAAGAAATTGGTCTGTCTCATGTTTTGAATGGTGTGTTATTCCTTCCTCTGCACCTAGTTTTGGAATTTCATAGCTAACATTGAGCTGAGAATGGGCTGAAAGGTAGTTGTCCAATACATCACTTACAAAGGCAGATTTGGAATTATTAGTCTCGGTAATGCTCGCCTGAAGATGTTTCAAAGGTTCAACTGCCTCAGGCCGGATAACAGCTCCAGAACTCAACATTACATCATCTTTTACTGGGTTGATTTTCTGTTTCCCAAGACTGGCGCTGCCAATCCTCTCCTCTGTTACCTGACTGTCCTCATCTCTAATGAATGTACCTACTAGGTCTGTATCATCATGTTTGGCGTCTTCAGAATACCAGTGGTTTTGCTGATCTTCCTCCATGTTTGTCTCATCTGTTGTTTTAACATCACAGCTTTCAAAGCCATCATCTTCTTCAAAAGCCTCATTGCTAAAGCCAGAGTAACGAGACGGATTATCATTAACAGCGAATTGTTTATTCCTCCAGCCCTTAATTTTTGTAATGTCATTTGTCTTTGTGAGGACAATAACGTGGCGTGCATACTGCAAATCCACATCACCAGAGTGTGCAAATGAATCATCCATCATATCCAGGCCATCATCACTCTGAATCATCCCATCATCTATAGATGAGCCATGACAGAAATC